TGTATGAAACTCCAGCAGCTGGGTGGCAACCCAGGTTCATCTGGTTGAGCTAGTTTGGCTGCTAAATCACATCAACAAAAGATATAAAAGTCTTTTCTAAAAGGAGGAATGTTGAAGGCCTAAGGCACAGGTAAGGCAGGAGGAGGCACTGAACAAGATATCTTTACACTTCTCAGATAATTAACCCTCATGTGTTTATTTCTTGTTAAACAGTTTTGTGTTCCCACCCAAAAATGACCTCCCCCTCAAGACTCATCACAACAACTGTAGTAACAGATATAGTATCACTGCTTGCTGTGTTAGATCTTTTTATCAACTTCAATTCTTTTGAACATTACAGGTTTTTTTTTTTTTACTTCTGGTTATTATATATAGAAAGTCTCATTAATCTGAGTTTATATAGCTTGAATTCAAATTCCAAAAAAACATAATTTCTGTGTTATTTTGAAAATAAGAAATAATCATCAAACATACATAGTATACTGTTAATCACAGACTACTTTGGGTCAAAGTTTCCATTAACATTTGCTTTGAAACCATTTAAAATTTGTATACATCAAATAAAGCAGAGGTGTCAAGCTCCAGGCCTCGAAGGCCAGTGTCCTGCAGGTTTTAGATCTCACCCTGGGTCAACACACCTGAGTCAAATCATTAGTTCATTACCAGGCCGTTCCAGGCCATGATTTAGCCGTTGAAATCAGCTGTGTTGGCTCAAGGATACATCTAAAACCTGCAGGACACCGACCCCCGAGGCCTGGAGTTTGACACCTGTGAAATAAAGTAACATCTGTTGTGCTCCTGGTCAAAAGTGATTGCAGAAAATTATCTGAAAGTTACACTTGATTCTGGCACGGCTCCAGACCAGGAGGACAATTAATGAAAAACAATTATGTCTTATGTCTCTTGAGACCTCCAATCAATCTCCAGAACCACAAACTTCAATTGGTTCTTTACAGGAGAACCGTCTACACGTTTCATGTTCCACACATAATTTGTCCTGGCATCACACGTTGCCCACATCTTTATGGTATACTTAACTGCTTTCTTGGCATTTCCGTTTGAAAGGTCAGCGTCACCTAAAGCGACCAGATGCTCATCCACTGTGATGTTTGGATTGGGGACATAGATGATTGTCTTGTTGGCTTGTTTTTTGTCACGGTTGTCAAAGTGAATCACCGGTAAAAACATGTAACATTTCTGGAGTGACATGGTGGTCGAAAAAATCATCTGGGCAGACTCTGTATCACATAAACTGCAGGTAAAATCATTAACAGAACAAAAACCTTTATTTGTCACATACACAATTATACAGAGTACAACATGTAGCGAAATTCCTGTGTCCGAGCTGCAGATATTGCTGCACCATTCCAGGGCTTGGTTTTAGTATGGCAGGTCTAGCCAGGACGCTTACTGGATACCGGGTGGAAATCGAACTTGTGACTCTCGCTCCGAAGGTGTGTAGTCTTATCACTAGACTACACATTACTAGATGTATGCACACCACTCAAAATCAAGACGCATGTATACTTTAATGTCTTTCTGGGTTACCTCCTTCCAACTGTCTTTGTTGTACCTGAAGTTATTTACACTCATTGTTACACAAAATGGAAGTGTAATGGAAGAAAAGAGAGAAGGCCACTAACCACAGATCATCACACACTGAGTGTACGGGTCACATACAAACACATTCATTTATACAATTAATCATTTCATTTCCAAAGGACCATCTTCTTCACATTTTTTATAAACAACCCTTTTTTAAGTTTATAAACTATTGCAGTAGTGATACTGTTACGTCTACACTCTTAACCCTGGACTCTAAACTAGACTTTATAGAGTCTGTGTGGAAACTTTCAATTAAGTAACAACTTGAAGTCGTGACAGCACGCAAACTCGTTTTAAGAGGCTGATGGCAGGAATTTCAGACAAACAAAACTGAAACATACAAAGGTGTAATCATGTTGTCAGGATTGTTTTGTTTTTATTTTCACAGAAATGAAACTCCTGGCTGACTGGATACATTTTCAATGATGAGAAGAAGTAACCAGATAACATGTTTTACTATACTTGTCCAATTTGAATGTAATTTGTGTTCACTGTAGTTGGTACTTTACATTTTTATAGATTCCTTTTTGTGGTAAAAGTTGTTAGAGTGTTCGCACAATGATTACAAATTTAAATCACATTTTAAGGCGACAACTTAATAAACTTGCCTTTTTAAAAGCAGAACTTTCAGATTAAACAGAAACCAAACACATATAATGTATTTTTTTGTCTCACACAGTCACCACAGGCATTTTATTTTCTAAGGGTAAAGAACGTTCAGAGACAACCCTTTGTTATGTACATCAGATTCATGACAGCAGGGAGAAAATGTGAGAAATGTCACAAGACACCTGCTACAACCAGTTTCACATGCATACCAGAGAAAATGACGTAAAAACAGTGAGGTGCCACCGTGAGGATCTGGGGCCGGAGAGCTTTCAGTGTGTGTCATTAAATGTGTTTTGCTTATTGGTTGGTAGATCAGGTCACCAACTAACCGGAAGCTTGGGGGTTCAATCCCAGTCTGTTCCAGTCTATATGCCAAGATAGTACCCCCATGTTGCTCTCCGATGCATCCATCAGAGTATGAATGTGTGTGAATGTTAGATAGGAATTAGAAACAGTGTAGAAGAAAGTGCTTGGGTGAATGCACAAGTTGTGTAAAACGTTTTGAGTGCTCAGGTAAAGTAGAAAATTGATGTATAAGAACCCGTCCATTTGCCATAATGCATGCGACTTTTTTTTTCTGTTCAGCTTGAAAAACCAACACAGCATGTTGTGAGAATTCACTGCATCCTACCACCTGTGTAAATCATGATATACGCTATAAAAGAAAGCCACATGTCATTTGGATCTTTGGTGTTGCCTGACCACAAAGCCACAGCAAATCCAAAGAGGTCTTCTGTAATCCATAAAAAACAAATATGTCATGTCTGTGTGTTTCGTCTTGGTTTATCCCCAATCCTGTGTCAGGTTTGGGGGTTCGTGTACTTCCTGTTTTACTTTAAAGCCTTATTATTTTTATTTGTAACTTATAGCCTCGCATCCTGTGTTCAGCGGGTTTAGTTTTACTTCCTCCTGTCTCCTCATGCTTAATTCGTACCCCTAGTGTTTCCACTTCCCCCATCACCCTTCTCCATATATATTGTGTGAGTTTCGTTTTTTTCCTTGTTAGGTCATCTGCTTATCACGCATCATGTTCTCTCAGGAAAGCTACGTTGAATTTAGTGAAAGTAGTGTTCAGGAGTAGTTCTCCAGGTTTTTTGAAGTGCATTCAAAGCTCTTCTTTTGATGTTTCTTCCTTTTCTTCTCTTCTATGTCAAGATGATCCCATGCTACTACAATAATATAAAAATGTTGAGGTCCACAGTCTTCGGAGGCCAGTCCATGGCTGACGTGTGGTTTTCTTTTATCGTTTTGATACATGCTCAATCATCCAAATAAGGAAACCCCCAAAAGTTGATTCTGTCTATCTGGATGTAACATTTTCATTGGGAGAAAACAAAAGAATATTATATCAAGAAGGCCCTGAGTAAAAGTGATCATCCCAGCAGGATATTTGTCCAAGCTGGGAAGGCTGCTAAAGAAACCTCGAGGTGATCCAGGAGAGAAGAAGGACAACTGCTGTCTAACCAAAAACTGTTAGTCATCCCATATGTGTCAGGAGTATCAGAACAGCTAAGACACATTTTTTCTAAACACAGAGTCTCTGTGGCTTTAAACCCCAAAACATGCCGTGCCAAACATTGGTCCACTCCAAGGATCAGGTCCCCTAATGAAGCCATTGCCAGTCAGACAATTTCCAGATAGTTTTGCATGTTGGATCAAAATGTGATGGCAGTTTTCTGAGTTTGTAATTGAGGAGGTGTTTAAGATCTCTTATTGGAGTTGAGAACTGACAGAGGAACTTTCAGAGAGATGATTACAAAATGTTTGTCAGTCCAGGAGAATGCAAACATTTCCTTTAGTGTTTAGTGTGAGTACACAACATTGTCTGTACACATAATGCAGCTGAACCTGGTTTTGGAAATGGACAGATGAAAGCAGTTTCATTTTTCTAACTAAAAGGTTTTTTAACTCTTGTTTCAGACATCAGGGCTCGAGGGGGTTCACCTAAAACATCAGGCTTTTGCAAGAATATGAGTATAAATAGTCTTACATTGTCTATTGTAACGTGAGGGTTCACTAGATGGTTTGGAATCTCTCTGAATAATTAGGAACAGCAAGATGGAGACTGATAACTTTCTTAGCAGCCTCCTTACTCTCAGCACACAGCAACAACAACCAACACTTCCTGTGTACCGCTCTCATGAATACTTCACTGGCCTCTCAGAAGCTAGGAAATCTTATACTCAGATCAATGCACGGAAAACAAGTACCGGTAGGTAGCTATAATACATACTTATTACTGCTTTGAACATGCATGTGTAAACATTCAAATGTGTAAACATGTAAATATCAAAACATGTAACCACCAAATAGCTACGTAACCAGCTCTATAACCCTTGTAAACACCTCTTTGTATATCAATTTATATTTAAATTTACTTCTACACTTTACAGTATATATAAGAATTTTCAATTAATCAATAAAGCCCTTAGGCTTTATCTACAGTGATATTACTGTTCTGATCACAGTAATTTCATAGAAGCTAAACTGAAAGTAAACCTGTTCTACATTGTTGTTTCCTGGTTCAGGTGATTGTGCTTACTGAGGGCAAGTCATGCTACAATCTCTGATTTTTAATGGAAATAAACTTGTGTGACTGGATACACTTTTAGTGATTAGAAGATGTGATCACAAAACACACTCTACTATTCTCGTTGAAATTTAAGATAATTTGTGTTCAATATACTTGTGAAATGATCAGGTAGAAAAGGGGAGGAGTTAGTGTGGTCACATGGTCAGAAATTGTTATAAAATCCTGTCAGATCTTCCAAAACGTCCCTTTTGATCAGCGACCCACCTCTGCTGCCTCGTAGGTAAGTTTCTTTGTATCCTGTTTTTATACTTATACTTTGTCACAAGGGTTAAAACGCAAATCAGAGTTTCTGTGGCAGCTTAGGCAGTGAAGTGAACAATGTAACAAACTCTATGGATCAAAAAAGCATGTTTGTTTCAGCTTTACTACTATCAAAACACAAAAAGAAAAGCAATGATTTGGTATCAGCTTATTTGGCTCATAGCTTGATGAAGTAAACCTGTTCAGTACCGTAGAGCAGTTATCTTATCTGTCTACACAGATATAGATCTCTCTGTTCCTTACTTTACAGATAGCTATATGTATACATGCATGTGCACACAGATTAATCACCTCGGGCAATTTTAAAAGAAAGCTTGATAAGACAACACTTTCCTTGCACAAGAAACTGAAACAGCTGGGAGGACAAAAACAAGAAACATCTATAAAAGTAGGTCAGATACCTGCTGCATGTAGTTTCACAGGGACACAAGAGTGAATGATGCAATAAAAATTAGATTTGACTGTGATAATATGCGACTAGAGAGGGTTCAGTGTATGGTATCTAACATGCTGTGGTAATATGTGTAATATATTTTCTATTTAGGTTGAAAAATCGTAACAACTTTTTGTGAGAATCCAGTGACGTAAATCAGCTCAAACCAACTACAACCACAACCACGATTCATCAGTCCGTTACCATGGAAAAGTATCTGTTTTTAAGCCATAGAAAGCAAGTATTTTACATCATCTCAGTTTGGATATTAACTGTAACTGTCTCTAAAATCTTTTCTTCTTTGTTTTTATTCCAAGTGTAGCATATACAATTAGGTCCCTAAGTACTTGGACAGAAACACAGTTTTTGTGAATCTCCCCTTTGTTTGATTAAAGATGTGGTTGAAGTTCAGACCTTTAGCTGTAATTAAAGTGTTTTATTAAAATTTTGCATTCAGTCATTGTTCAAATAATTGCAAACCTGACTGTATATTCTGTTTCCCCATATTAAGTTAAAATGTTAATGATCTCAATTATCTGTTACAGGTACATGGCTATACATACCAACGGTAGGTTAATAACGCTTGTTTTTATGGGCTCAAATTGTGGTCATAAATATTTTGTACTTGTAAATCAGGATTTGTATGTGTAAAAAGAATTTGTGTGTGTAAAAAAGGTTTGTGTGTGGACTTAGCCAAAAAATACGTGTGTCAATCACAAATTTAACTATCCAATCAGAGAACAGGTGGGTTTGGCTATTGGAGGGGTGCTTTATGGAGCTTCAGGTCCTTCACACATACTTTTTGGCTAAGTCCACACACAAATCTTTTCTTTACGCACACAAATTGTTTTTACACATACAAATCCTGATTTACAAGTACAAAATATTTATGACCACAATTTGAGCCCATATGTTTTCCTTTACATTTTCTTGAAACTTGGAAGTTAAAAAAAGAAAGTAGTAGTTACTTTTATCTTATTTTTTGTCTTATTTTTACTTGTCTTTTTTAATTTAAAAAAACACTTTTAAGTTAAAGTTAAGGCACAAATCATACAATGTTTAATTAGACTTTTTTTTCTTCAATTATACCAGCTTATTTTGAATTTGATGCCAGCAAAACATTTTGCCTATAACCTCCTGTGGTTTGTCTTCTGTCCTGGTTAAGGCTATGTAAGAAACATTCCTCTGTTCTAGTCAATTAAAAACAGTTATGATGATGAAATGGAAATCACATTGTCAGGAGATAAAGCTCATCAGCGCATCTGTTTAGACTAAGTCCAAGCTAAGAGCAAAAATGCTGTCAGGAATGCTGTCAGGTTTTTGGTCATACACCAATGAGAATCATGATTTAAAAAAAAAAAAAAAGTATTTACTGGTGCTTCATTTTTGGAGAACATTTGTTGCTGGCAACAAATTCAAAGAGAGTAAATTCAGGTTTTCTTCTTTTCTTTTCTTTTTTAAAGGAAGGAAAATGCAAAATATCACTGGTAAAAAAGTTGATGTATCATATTATTAGTTTAATGTTTGTTCAAACAGTTTGCAAATTCATGGATTGTGTTTTGACTCATTTATTTACTTTCTGAGGAAAGTTGCTTATTGTGGTTTTAACTGGGATACCATATAGAAAATCTTTTTGTAATTTGGATCATCCAACCCTTTAAATAATGCAGTTACAGCAGTTGTGAATTCCTTAATCATACATCTTTTTTACTCTTTTTACAGCTAAGAAATCAGCACCCTTGTTCCATAACAAAGAAAATTACATTTTTAAACACAAGCAAAAAAAACCCACTGCATTTACCAAAATAATACCACAAATATCATTCAGTTTTAATTATCTCCATAAAGGTGACTTCAACATTCGACATGTTGTCTTTAAAAATTGGTGTGATAAATCAACTCAGGTTCATACTGTATCTAAAACAAAATCTAATAACCTCCTCAAAAGAAATTACGCAGTTTCAAATGTTTTTACCGTTCCTAAGAAATCAAAAAGAAATCATGAATATATGAAATTCTCTGAAATTCCTTTTCCTTCAAAAATTCTCAGCATACCCGGCAATCAGATTTTTTTTTTATCCGAAGTTAAAAGTTTCAATGCACAAATTTTTTCTGAGATATTGACAGCAGCTGAAGTGAAACATTTAAATGATAAACTCAATACTTGTAGAATAGAAGAGCAGAAAGAACTGAAGCTTAAGGATGAATGTAAACCGATTCATCGACAGAATAACGAGTATGAGAAATTTTATCATTTAATAATTGAAGAAATGCAGAAAAAAATTCCAAGTGTTGATCCAAACAGATTTTTTCCATTTCTGAAAGAATACCTTCAAAGTAATGAACAAAAGCAGTATGCATTTGCTATTGTTGTCATGAAACATAGGAAAAATATCATTGTTTCTCCAGCATTTGAGCCAGATTATGAAAAAAAGGAAATTCCTGGAAAAATAAAGCACAGCGAGCCTCGTTTATGTGAAGCTTTGGAACCTTTTTTGCAACAGTTTGGAATTTTAGTGGAGGATATTCTGATTTATACATTCAATAGTCCTTGTTTAGGATGTTTGTGTCTACTTCTCGAAAAAGCTTATCTCTGGCGCTTTAAATATGGATTTTCCACAACTGTAGCATTCACACAATTTTATAAACAAAATTGTTTCCAAACTCTCACCTACTCATCTACCAACATGTTAGGTCCACGCGGTGTGTTTTATGAAGACAGTCAAAGATGTAAGCGTGATTGCTTCAAACTGAAGTCTTTCACAGTCACACGTAAAATCTTCCAATATATCACAGAACTTAGTGAAAAAGAAGAAAGACGCAGCTTCCATAAGAAAATAAAATCCTATGTGTCTGTGCTGAAAACACTGGCAAAAAATTCCTTTTGTTCACGTGAAACACATATACAACATGGTAAAGACACAATTTCTTCTTTCATATTTCCCCCAAAGATCCAAGATGCATGTAGAGTCAGTCTTTTAAGCGACTGGTGTGAACTGGTGAACGAGTCTCCCAAGGAGAAAATTACTGTGCCAAAAATTAGAAATAAAATGGCCATGAATTGCACTAATTTCACACTGGAACTTATTTACCAAAATCCTATCTCCTCTTGTGAGACCAACAGTCCTTTAAATCTTTACCATCTTCAAAATAAACCATAATTACACTCAAATTAATGAAATTAATATTAATTTTGATTAATAATAGATTAATAATAGAAAAACAATTATTAGTAATTAATTAATTAATAATATAATATAATAATAATATAATATAATATAATATAATAATAATATAATAATTATATATTATATATTTATTATATATATTATATATATATAATAATTAACCCTAAAACACTATCACTATAACACCATCACTAACGCCGGGTGATTTTTACCCAATATAATATACCCAACAAGAAGTACTTGGCATCAAAATATATCAAAATATGACAACACATTATCAATTAGAGTGGCCATCTTTTATTTCCAACTGTGCCATGTCAAACAAAATGGAAAAAGAAGTGCCATGGGGGACCCTAAAAATTGCTCCAACATTACTGAAAAATTTTGAATTTGAGAACAAAAAATTCTTTAACAAAAAAATAATTAATGGAAAATTTTAAACTTCTCTGGTGAAGGCGCAGTCTCCTCGACAAGCGAACAGGTGCAGGATAGAGAAACAAAAAATTGTACTTTGTTGTATTGGTGGGTAAAAACTAAGTGAAATTCACCCAAAACCTGCTTTACCCTCTATCACTATTGCCAGGTGAAAATCATACATGGCTGTAAAAAAAAAAAAAAAAAAAAAGAAAAGAAAGGAAAAGAACAAAAAAGAAAAGAAAAGAGAAAAAAGCAGGCTGTACCTTCAAAGACGTCAAAGACAATGCTGAAGCTACCCAAGGACCCATGACACTCAGACAAACGCAACATATTCAAAATCATTTAAATATATTTGCTCAGGTGAAAATCACCTGGTGTTGTTCTAGAGTTAATTAATAATTAATAATAAAACCCTTTTTAAAAACATATATTAAATTATATATCATAAGATATATAATTTAATAGATATTTATATACGTCCAGAGTAACAGCCGTAGACTGCAGTTTGCCGCCTGTCAGGTAGTCAGTAATCCAGGGGAGCTGAACTCTGAGAGCAAACAGCCTGGTGACTGTAGCGTGCCGAGGGGCTCACGTGGATCTGTGGCTGAATCTGGAGCTGAGACTGGAGGTGTTCAACGAGGACTCCTACGAGGCAGCAGAGCTGATGCGCTGATCATTAATGGCCGAGGCTGCTCACACCAAAGGTGAGTTGATGAGTTATAAACTGTAACAATATCTTGTAGCTTGGAACAGAAAAATCTCATCTTTGTTCTCTGTCTTGCTGCCTCCTCCTGTTGGTTTGTGTGTTAGTGAGTGGCAGGATTCTCCAGTCCAGTGAGCACAGCTCCATCAGCTGGTGGAGTTCAGTCAACACACCTGCTCTCAACAACCAGCAGTGTGCTCAAACATCGGTTTCTCCTCCATCCTGCACGATGTTTTACACTCCAGAAGCAGTAAATCAGGATTACATCACCTCTCTGTAGAAGGAAACTCTCCTAGTGTCCTTAATTTGGATTCTTGTGTCCTTCTCAGTTCCTTCCTGGTGTGTGTGCTGGACTGGATCCTCTGGCTCTGTGCCATCTTTTACTTATAATAAAAATCATTGAAACTTTTGTCGCTTGTCTGAGTCTGCATTTAAATCCATGTGTTCTTGTTCCCCATGTCAAAGATGTGAGCCACAACCACAAACCAAACTAAATTTAGTCCATAAAGGCAAAAATTGCAAAGAGAATGGGTATGAAAAATCTATAGTAAAACAAAAGCCTGAATGTTTGTCAAAAAAGATGGAAAATTGTATGAAGTCCTCTTTGGGTGGGTGACTATAACCTACTCACGGTGGCTCTGGAGGAATAGATCCACCCAGAGGGAGCAGAGAGGCTTTTCCTAGATTGAACTAACTGTAAGAACCTCAAGTTCCTTCACTTGCCAAGAAGCTAAACCCAAGACAAGCCAGGTGGGCTCATCTTTAATATATTTAATTTCACATGTCATATTGACCATGCTGTAAGAACACAAAACCTGATGCACTCTCTCACCTATGAGTCAGATTCTTCCACTGAACCTTTGACCACGGTTCTTCCAGCCTGCAGCTTTGTGGAAGTCGTTACCTGGAAGAATGAGGAGAAGGTCAGGCAGACTCTGAGGTGTCTGTCAGGAAGAATGCAAAACTTTCTTTGATGGGCTTTGATGGACTTACAGCAGACCATTAAAACTGAGGTTAAATATTCAACCTCACTGATATGTTCAAGTACTCGGCTGTGCCTGATTACAAATTTGAGGTTCTTGCACTTTTCTACACTGCAGTTCAAGTTAAAATATCCTTCTTCTTCCTTTTGGAACACATTTAGCTTTATCTCTTCTAATAACTGGCAAAGCATTAAAGCACACCCACACAGGTTTTTCTCGTGATGATGTCAGGGATTTCAGAGAAACAAAACAGAAAGTGAGAGTGTTGTACATTATTGTCTCCTGGTTCAGGTGATAATTCTCACTGAGGACTAATCAAGATGTAATATCTGGTGAGTTTTTGAATGCTTAAATGATTCAAAGTTTAATGCTGAGTGGCTTAAACAAATTAATCTGAAAATGGAAAAAGGACTGGATTGAGAATGAGTGAAAAAGCAGCCAATGACCCAAAACTTAAAAACAATTGAAAGACCTTCAGAAAGCCTGATGAACTATTATTCAAGACAACTTAAAAAAATTTACAAGAATGGCTGGTTGGCAAAATTGAAAGGAGCCAGCTGAGGTGGTTCGGGCATCTGACAAGGATGTCTGCCCGGGGCAGACCCAGGACACTCTGGAAAGGTTATATCTCTCGGCTGGCCTGGGAACGCCTTGGTGTTCCCCCGGATAAGCTGGAGGAGGTGGCTGGGGAGAGGGAGGTCTGGGCCTCTTTGCTTAGGCTGCTGCCCCCGCGACCCGGCCTCGGATAAAGCGGATGAAGATGGATGGAAATGAGGAGCAGGTCAAGACTTTTGCACAACACTGTCCTCATATCAACTGGTCGAAGGTTTCCAGCTGGTGCTACAGAACCTTTACAGAACCAGATACTTCACCACACAGAGCATCTTTACTTCCTGTCAGCTGATGAACCGGAGACCATGGAGACCAAGTACAGCAACGTGTCCCTGGCATCATTCATTAATCCTCCTCAGCAGCTGATTCTTCTTTGTAGTATATAAGGATGTCAAGAGATTTATTCTAAAGACACTTCTTCAGCTGAGAGTCAGAGAGTAGAAACACACACGCTGCAGTTTTTACTTGCAAGGGCGGTCACAGAGCTCTCACACCAGAGTGGGGGCCCTTTTGTTTTAAAATATTAATTCATGAGCTGCAGCTCGTTTGCTTAACTGACAGTCGTAGCTCTCAATTCTGCTGGTCGTTCAGTCAAACTACTTACGAGATCTATACAGAACTACAACACTACAAAGAGTGTGTGAGCATCACTGTCATGCTGCATTCTGTTTAAACCTGCTGATGGCAGCTTAAAAGTAACATTTAAACTCTTTTTTTCAGACTCATTGTGGTTCACCCAGAACATTACAATGGTGTTTTGCAGAGTATACACTAATATTGACTCACCCCAGCTCTAAAGTAGACCTTATGAAGGCAATATAACACTTTTCAGTTTGCCCACAAAGCACTTAAGAATGTCCAGAGTGTTCCTGCAATGATGACAGTGATTTCAGAGAAACAAAACTGAAAGTCGTCGTGTTGTACATTAAGGTTTCCTGGTTTGAGTGCTGAGAGCTTGTAAACATGTAATGTCTGGTTTTTTTTTTACTGAAATAAAGTCCTACATAGTAGATACGCCTTCAGTGGTTAGCAGAAGTGATCACATAACACACACAGCGCTGTTTTGAAAGCTGTGAGAGTTGTGAAAAAACCAGGAAGGAGGGGAGGAGTTAGGCTGACCACATGATCAGGAATCCTCATAAATTCTGTCCGACCTCCCAAAACTGCCCTTTTTGATCAGCGCATCAGCTCTGCTACCTCGAAGGTAAGTTTCTTTGTTTATTTGAATCTTTTCTTTGAATTATAATCCAGTCACAAGAAGGAATAATCTGACTTATTCCTTCTTGTGACTATAATTACTAGAGAAATCTCACAAGGGTTAAAGATACAAATAAGAGTTTGTGGGGCAGCTCAGACAGTCGGATGAAAAAAAAAAAAACCGTGGCTGCATCAGCACAAAACACTCAGGGTTAAAGCTATTAGACAAAAAGAAGCCAAACTATTAATGTAAATGTGTTAGTTTTTCATACATCTATAAATCTCTCTATATGTCTATATGAATACAGAGCTCTGTCCCTCTGTCACGATCTCTTGGTGAGTGCAGATCGTGTGAGGTTTGTACGAGGACCCAAACATAGACCGCAGGAGACAAGGTAGTGGTTAACTAAGGGCGAGCTGTTTATTTAGGCAGATTTTCAAAATGTGAACTCAGACAGGAAAAATCCAAAATAACAAAAAACTAAACCGAGAAACACCTAAACCGTGAGAACTAAATAAGTAAACACAAAAGTTGGAACACTAGAAAAATCTTGGAGGCAACACGGAAACACGAGGAGGGATTCACTGGAAGAAACACAGACAACTCCCGGGAGGAACACAACACACCGACGAAGACCAAGGCAAAACTGACACAATAAATACGCACAAGAGGGTGATCGGGGAATTACATTGAACATGGGACGCAAGACTGTCAAAATAAAACAGGAAACACACAGGCTTGACACAGTGGCCGGCATGAACAGGGAGGGAAAAGATGAAACACGAGGAGAGGAGCAGGGCAAGACAGGTGAGACTAAACACGGTGACACGACTAAGACACAGAGCGGGCAAAAAGAGATGAAAACATGGAGACACAAGACACACGGAGGGGCGAGAGACAAATGCAAACACACGGGGAGGAGACAAACACACAAGAGAAACCTCAGGGAATAAATCATAATAAAGGAAAAACCAAAAAACTCGATACAAATATGATACAAAGAGCAACATGCAATAAGCTCAGGATGCTCCTGACACCCTCTCTCATATAGATGTACGGACTACTCAGTATTTGGGTAAAACTACATTACATTTTGAATATGAATGGCACAACATGACTGCGTCATTTATATTCCCAACAAGTCATCTCACGGCATTCAGTTTCTTTTGTGTAAGACCTTAAGAGGAACAGAAAGTTGAGTCAGGAAACTTCTGTAAAACTGCAGGGCGGTAACCTGCTTGGACATGCAGACAACAGTGAATGATGCAATACAACGAGGTGTGTCTGACATGATATGAGGCTAGCAGCTTTCAGCGTCATTCAAAGTGCTGTAAGACTGTAATATTGTAACATGTAATATTGTTTTTTCTCAGGTTGAAGTCATCACATCTTATCAGCATCCACTGAATGCACAGTCAATCAACCGTGTATCTCAGTGTATACCATCTATACCAACACCAAGTTAATGAAACTGATGTTGCTTGACCTCAAAGTCAATTCAGCATGTACCCTTGGGATCCACAAAAGGCAAGAATCTTATAACAGTTTGGATATTAACTATAACTGTTTCTAAATAGTATGCAGATCATAGGTATTGGGAGAGTTTTTCCTCTGTATACCACCACAGTGAATTAAAGCAATCAAGATGTGGTTGAAGTTCAGACATTTAGCTTTAATTTAAGGTGTTTAACAGAAGTATTGCATAACCAGAATTGCAGTCATTTTTTACACTTTGTTATAAAATTACAAAGTTTTTTCTTACTTTTTGATCTGTTTTCATAGACTGCATTTCCTCAAATCAAGTTGAAAATAATCTCAAATCTTTGTCTTTTTTCAGGCCGAAAAGGCAAATGAGAAAGATGAGAAAGCTGGCACGTTACAGCTGCGAGGCTGTTCGCACCAAAGGTGGGTTGGAAGTGAAAAATCTAATGTAGTGTACTATTTTAAAAAACAACCGTAAAGTCAAAGTTTTTCTGGGTGTTTGGGTGTTCTAGTGGAACGTATTATTACATGATTTACATGTTACATGCTTTATATACAAGTTTTATATATAATATATATCACAGGTTCTGGTTAACAAACTGCTTCTGAATGTCACGTAGAAAGAGACAGGCGACTCAGTCGTAGACTCGGTTTGGCAGTTCAGTGCGTTTATTTACAATGAGTGAGCAAATGTGCCAGGGAGTTAGTGGTCCAAGGGGGGTCCAACCTGTCCAATATTTACAGTGCTCTCAACCACACCACTGGTGGGGTCCAAAACCTGTGCACAGAGATACTGGGAGGTCAGGCAAAGCACAACGAGGGACAATGTCACACAAACACAGAGAAACGATAGTCAGGGTTGCAGTTCAACGATCCAGCGAAGACAGGATTCAACCTCAGCTTAATAGTGGTCTTATCAGCCAGGTGGTCAGGAACAGGTGGAGCCTCACAGGTGCGCACAATCAAAGGCGGGATGAGAGACGAGCCCAAGGACCCGGGGCAAAACACCAGACACAGAGAGCAGAGAAACCGAACCCCTGACACTGAAAGTGTCTCTGTGGGACCAGAATCATTTTGTTTTTACATTTTGAAGTTGTGAGCAACATTTAATTACATAGAGAGACAAATTATTTTG